CACACTCAGACGAAACTGAAGTACAACTGAAGGGGGGGGTTAAAACAGGGGGGGAGAGAGAATAAAAGCCGCATAACAGATGGGTGGGGAGGACGGGAAGGGTATTCCAAAGAGAGCAAAGGCAGTTTTCCTTCGAACTACTCAGCCTCAGGCTCACTGAACACTGCCCTCTCTCAGGCCCCCACCCCACCCATGCCCTTACAAAGCCGGCCAACTTGGTCCCAGCGTGCAGCAGCAAGAGCAGCAGCGAAGGGGAATCAGAGGAAGGCAGCAGCCAGGCGCAAGAAGTTTACTCAGCCTCAGGCTCACTGAACAACTGCCCTCTCTCAGGCCCCCACCCCACCCATGCCCTTACAAAGCCGGCCAACTTGGTCCCAGCGTGCAGCAGCAAGAGCAGCAGCGAAGGGGAATCAGAGGAAGGCAGCAGCCAGGCGCAAGAAGTGGAGGAGGTGCCGTGGAGGCCGTCCGGGATGTGGGAGGGACCGCAGCCCCTGAGCTTCAGTGCCTCCTTTTGGCAGGGCAAGTTCGCCGTGCCAAGTTCCCCTCCCGGTCCGCGCTGATTTTACTGGTAGCTGGGTGAGGGGGGTAGAGAGGCAGGTTGAACGAATGCGCCTCGAGGACTCAGCAGTAAAGGAGAGCCTGGGCAAGCATGCTTCCTACCTTTGTGCGCGCGCACAGGAAACCAGGAAAGCCAGACTCCACGTGCAGCCCGGCAGAACTAAGGGCTTCTGGGAGCTGAGGGTGGGGCTTCACTTCCAGGAGGAAGCAAGCCCCCGCCCTAACTTCTCTCCCTCTCTCCCAGTCCCAACCCAGCCGCTGAACATAGTTTCAGAATGGGGTGGGGGGAGCAAGGGTGGCTGGAACCAGTTGCCCCTGGGGGAGGCTGAGCACCTTCCTGAAAATGTTGGAAGGGGCTGATGCCCCGCCACCCCCACGAACTTTATGCCTATGGGTAGCAGGACTCTTGGCAGATGTTGGCATCTGATTGCGCCCTTAAAATCTGCCTGGCATTTGCACCTATGGCATGGCTAATTCTGTGCATGATTGCAACCCTAGAATAGCTTTCAGGAATGTATCCCTTGACAATGGGGGATAACAAGCAGAAGAGAGCACTTCTAAGAACCAAATATACATTCTAGTATAGTGCTCATTTGAATTGCTATTGTGAGAAATTTTAAAATTAGCTGTCTCATCAGAGGGTAAATAAGTAATTTAACTGAGGCTAAATTTGAAAACATAACTTTGAACTTTACTAACACTATACATGGCTACACGGAATGTTGTTAATGCAAGACAGAAAGAGTGCCAATTTAAATAAAGCATACTTCCCAGTAATATTTGTTTTACATCCACATCGTCGATACAGAAAAAGGAAACCATAATTCCTATGCTTATTTACTCAGAAGTAAGCCCAATGTAATTCAGTGGAATTTATGTTCAAGTAAATATGCATAATATTGCAGTGATTCCACATTGTTCAGTAAATTAGACTTACATATTAGGTAGCAGTGTTGCTTTTTATGACAAAAAAATTTCCCTTCCAGCTACTGTGTTGGATTGCTGCCCCAATCAGCTAACAGAACATGAAGACTATGTGGGATTGGTGGATGCTGGATTTTTCATCAATACCAGCTGCCCTCCACTTTTAAGGAGACAGAGGAAAGTAGATGTCATTCTGCATTTAAGTTACAGTGCAGGCTCACAAACAATGGTAATGAATTCTGTATTGTGGTGTTACATTTTCTAACAATAGGGTTTTGATTTTCCTAGTATTTTTCTCTTTTTTAATGGTACAATTCATCCAAAGTTAAGTACTTTTGATACTATTTGATTTCAGTGGGAGATATTTAAATCATTTTCAGTTGTGTAGCTGTGTGTTAGTCTGCTACTGGCAAATCAAACAGCTTTTTTGTAGTATAAGTTTTCAAGAGCCCACTTCATCTGATGTATCTTTGATACCTGGGACATTCTACATGCACAGCAGGTGTTGCAGTAACTGAGACACATCTCTGTCCCTGGCTTTGTGTAGCTCTGCTCCAAGAAACCTTTATGCATTTTCAAGTTCATACAAAACTATTAATTTAAGTGACTACATAAAAACTATTTCTCATTAGTGGTTAATTAATTCTTATATTGTTGTCTTAAAAGGTATCCCCATGTTGTGTTTCATTCTGTTTAGCACTGAGCCCCACTTGTAATCTCATCTGCTCCTTGGGTCTCTTAACTACAGGTGTTGTAGTGGAATTTGATTAGCATTTCAAGGCAATGCAAAATCAATAGCTGGGCTTCAAAATGGTTTGCTCTTAATTCTCATGGAATCTTTAATTTTGACTACCCTCTTAAATCAGCCTCTGGAAGAAGCTTGCAAGTTTTACTCAGAGCAAGGTATCCCATTTCCAAACGTTGTCCTTACTGAAGAGGATAAGAAGAACCCAAAGGAATGTTACTACTTCAATCAAGCAGGGGGTGTTGAGTGTCCAGATGTGCTTTTCTTCCCATTAGTGAATGATACCTTCCAACATTACAGGGCACCTGGTAAGTTATCTGCATCAGCCAAGAAGTTAGCTACGGCTTTCTTGAAACCTGGATATTAATTTTTCATTCAGCACCTTGCTGCTTGCTAAAGGAATTGAGATTTAAAACAAACTCTGAAGAAGTGTGCATGCACATGAAAGCTTATACCTTGAATAAAACGTTGTTAGCCTTAAAGGTGCCACTGGACTAAAACTTTGTTCTGTTTACCCTAATGTATGAAATGTGGATGCCAGTCTTAACCAGAGCTGCCCCCCCCCAAAAAAAACCTAGGATTCCAGCTGCCCCCTCCCAAAACTAGGATTCTTAATCTGGGTTTAATTCAGGTATAGAAAGAATCTCAGTTTGTAGTGGGAGGGGGAAACTAGCTCTGATGAGGCCAAGTACATATATGTTTATGTCATGGGAAACTGAAGTTAGTTTTAAACTAGGATTCCATATCTGATGAACTGTGCATGCACATGAAAGCTTATACCCAGAATTTAACTTTGTTGGTCTTAAATGTGCCATTGGACTCAAACATTGTTCAAACGGAAAATACTGTGAATGATCAGTGCAGTCCCCATTGCTTATGCACTTTCAGGCAATTTGTTCTTCTAGGCTGCGTTCATTACCATAAGGAAATACATGAACAATCAGTTCTAAGAACTTAATTACTAGAGAAATAGTCTTATGATAAGCCAAATATAATAAAATAAGAAACGTTTGTCTCTTTGTCCTAGGTGAAAAACGGAATGATGATGAGATGGATGCAGGAGATGTTGATGTATCCAGTTCCAGCAGCCCATATAATACTTACCTCCTCACATACAGTGATGACGAATTTGACAAACTGGTGAACCTGAGTGAATACAACATTGTGAATAACCAGCACATGATTCTTCAGGCGTTGCGTGCTGCTGTGGCACGGAAAAGACAAAGTTACTACAGCAATTAATCACCTTCCTATATATATTCCTATATATTAATAGGTGTAATGGATTCCAGCAAACACAAGACAACCCTATCAGGACCGAAGCCCTGCTTAAATCCGTACCCAACACCACACCACACATATACCCACTACCCACTACTAGGCGAGGCTACCTTCCCCCCCCCCCATGAGACCACCAATTTTCAAACATAAATGCATTTTAGGAAGAATTAAAAACACAAAATTTGAAATTGCTAATTTCTTTTTTTTTTAATTGTGAGAACAAGTAATGCAATCTCTGATTTTCTTTCTCAAACAGAAAAACACAAATCACAAAGCATTTTGAAAAATCCTGTTAATTGTGATGTTGAAATTTAAGTATCTAATGTTTCCATTTCAGGCACATCAGAATTCACATCAGAATTATTCAGTAGCCCTACTGAATAATGTTTCACCCATACAGTTAGTCAGTGCTATAGTAACAATTACTCATTATATACAGCTACACGTGTGTCTATATAGACTGTAAAAAGCAGTAAGTGTTACAGGTATTTAAACCCGAACATCACAAGCAGCACTTCTAGCAAAGGAGGGGAATCTTGGCAACAGATAAGGGAGATCAAAGAGTCAGACTCGACTGTGCGACTGAACAACAACAAAAGGGAGATCTGGGCTGAGTTTCTATTACAGGAATTAACACTGGGTGTGGCCAGTGATGTGAACCTAAGGTATTCGATGGACCGTCAGTAGCCAAGCTAGTGGATTCAGCCCAGGATGTTAAAATTGTATTATATATCTTTTTCTTTGTTTGTTTAAACAGTTTTGTAAGATACTTTGAGCCCTAGGAGGAAGAAAAACAGGCTTGGAATACTTAAATAATAATCCTAAAATTAATGTAATGATTGCATTCTGGTTTATATTTTATTCCTAAATTAAAGTACTGTTGCCTAATCCTGGGCCATTGTAGGAAAATACTTGGGTTTCCTAGCAACCACTATTAAATGTGCAATTATTATATTTCACCCCCCAAAAAAAAAATTGCCAGAAAGGTCTTTTATTTATTTATATTCCTATATATACGTACTCTAAATAAGTCCCATTGTCTTCAGTGGGTTTAATATTAAGTAAATAAGCAGTGGATTTGAATAAATCCGTTTGAATTAATGCATGTGAATAAATACTGTAATATAGATGTTTCATATTATTTTACTCTGGAAATAATCTCATGTGAACATGTTAATCCAGAATGGAGCTTCCACCTATAACAAAACACCACTGATATCTTGTTAATGTGTTAAAGTATCAGTACTGTTAATGAAGGAAGGAATGTAGAAGGATGCTATTCGACCTCATGTATGTTGTATATTTGCATTACAGATATGGGAAATGCAAAATTAACATTGCTGGTATGATCACCATGTATGAAAATACCCTAAAAGTGTTTTGCATTTCTTGCTTGGCAATGTCATGTTAAACCACATTGACTAGAATATGTACTTAAGTTAAAAATAGACCTCTTCTCCTCTTTGTTCTGCATGACTTTAAGCTATTGCTAGACTGGATCATTTTAATCCAGAACTTTGAATCCATTATCAGCAGCCACTCAGATTCTCCTGGGAATATCACAGGCAGAGCAAGATGGAGATCATCCACTGAAGAAACTTTCCCTGTCCCTTAGGAAGCAGTGGGATGGGGATGCATTTTCAGTCTCTCCCAGAGGAGCTAACTCAATGAATCCCTCCCTTCCACTCCCCGTACTCATCAATAAACCAGTCAGATCCTGAATGCACAAGCAAAGGGTGGGGTGGAGGGGGTAGGGTTTGTGGTCACTGCCTGCAGATCTGAGACAGAGTTCAGTTCGCAACTGCGTGTCCTAGCCTTGTAAAGCAAGCATGCTTTTTCAGATCGGATGTAAGTCTCGTTCTGGGGCTTACCTCCTAGGAAGCTGTGCATAAGTTTTGCCTTTGGAAGAGGAGAGCAGAGAAAGATGATGACCAGTCCGATGCTCGACCTGGGCAAATAACCCAAGCCAGAGTCCTGGCCAGGCAAGCAGCTTCTTTCTTAAACTGCACCAGAAAGGTGGGCGGGGGTGGTGGTTTCCTCTTTGGAAAGCCCCCCCCCAGGCCCCAGCGCTCAGTTTTTTGCGCCACCCCGTGGGAAGAGCAGGCCCCAGAGAGTGGCACATAGTGCCCTGGCAGCCCCCATGCTCCTTCCTTGGCACGTCTGCCCGGGAAACAGCTTTTCCCTCTAATACCCACCAGTCTCTAGTTACCTCCCATGGACACCCACAAATGAGCCATGACCCTGGCCCTTCCCCAGGAGGGGGGTTGCATAGGCAGCCCAGCCGCCCCCTTCCTTCCCCCCAAATTCTCCAGCCAGCCAGACCCCACACACCATGCCGAGAGTCCTCTGCAGTGCAATCCTAAACCTCTGTGTATACGTGGGATCTTCTCCTGGGCAAACACAAGCCCCCCCGCCTCTCTCTGTTTCTCTCCCCCTCTCCCCCTGGCAGCCCCGAGAAACCACCCCTGGGGCAGCGGGGGGTAGTGGCGGTGGTGGGATCATCCAGGGGGTCAGGCCGGGCTCTGAAGGCTGCCTCTGGACAGTCAGCCCCCAGCAGTGCCACCCCCCACTGCAAGACCATAGGGTGCCCCCCAGCCCAGAGGGAGGCCCAGCAGGGAAAGGGCTCACTCTCAACTGGCTACCGTGCAGTTTTGGGAACTTCTTGCTGGGAACTTCTCACCTCCCAGGGAAGGGCACAGGCAAGGCAAGGCCAGCCCAGGAGGAGCCCCTTTCATTGGCTTGATCAAACTAACTACCAACCTTTCCAGCAGGGGCCGAGGCGCAGGTTCCAATTTCCACGTGTTCTCGGGAGTGGGTGGGAGGCGCAGCTTGTGGCTGAGATGGCAGGCCGGCAACTGCGTGTGTGCAGCACGTGCTCGGCAGCTTCAGTTCCACTTTTATGGAGCAACCAAGGAGAAGCAGTGCAGGGCTTTTGATGAGGTGAGGGAGGGGCGAGGCGGCAGGCCAGCACGGCGCTTCTCATAAGGGGGTACTCTAGGCAACTGCCTAACCTGGTCTATGGACTGCCCGGCCCTTTAAGAGATAGTTGTGGTAGTGAGAGTCTCCCCATAGCTAACATGGCATGGCCGTCTACTGTAAACCTCCTGTGACAATGGTGAACATCTAATCCTTGTGTGTGTGTAAATCAACCTGACACAGCAGTATATATGTACTGGAAGACGCTAAGTTCCAGCTAGTGTCTTTAAGATAACAAATACACATTTTGATTTCATGCCTGAAATCATTCTCAGATTAAAATGAAATTTCATTAGATAAAGGACAGATATGGGGAAAACTGAAAATAACAGGTATTGGAGTTTATCACTTCTAAAACACATTGCTTGTCAGGGACAAAAGGCAACACAATCTTAATTGTCTGTCACTGAAATCAGTGATACCAAAATATGCTTTGCTCCAGCTGGGTAAATGCCCTGTTCTAGTGACAAAGCAGTGGAGCTTTTTATAGCATTGGTAATGCATGGTAATTTTGGAAAGATTGAATAGGATTGTTATATATTCAAATAAATCTATTAATAGGAATACTGAATTAATTCATTAAATGCAAGTCAGCTGACTGCCATTTCTACATCAACATCAACTTACAGCATAAATGAGTATTACAAGCAGTAATCCACAAGGACTTGTGGGAGGCTTCCCCTCCCCCACTGTTTCCTCTCTCCCTTTCATAAAGGCCCCCATAGCCTCTCTCCTTGTCTTGCTTGTTCTCTGGTTCCTATCCAACAGCCTGCTTCCTATCAAACAGCCAACCTACAATTATCTGCCTCTCTGTCTTCCGCTTTTTGTTTCCCCCATAGGGTTGCCAGATCCCCCAGGGGGGTGGAGGTTTGCCCGATTTAGGGGCCCCTGATCCACCAGCCTGGATCTGGGCGATGGGGGAACCTCACCCCCAAAGTGCCTGGATCAGGCCAACATGCCCAGTGCGATGACATCACCCGGAAGTGATGTCATCACTCCGGGCACATCACCGAGGGAACACTCTAGCATCCGGCTTGAAAACTCTATGGTATCACAGAGTTCCTAGCTGAATGCTAGACATCCAGGTGATGTCATTGTGGCAAAAGGTAGGGACCTGGCAACCATATCCCCCCACCCAGCAGCCTCTATTTAGGAAAACTATGGCCCAGTTTTGTGGTGCTGAGCACTAGGCAAAGCGCACTTGCATGGTGGGGAACCCTCAAGGATTTGTGAGGGGGCATCTCACTTTCCCCTGTATCCCCATTCCTGCACTATTTACTGTTTCCCTCCTTTTGGCAACCCACATATCCTTTCATCTTTATCTGCCTCATTCTGTCATCAGGTATTCACCAACCTAGAAGAAGAGGAGGAGATTGGATTTATACCCCACACAAAAATGCTTGTTTTAAGGGGTGGACTGCAGCTGAGGTCTCTCCTTATCAAACCCTCCCCTCCCCAGATTCCACCCCCAAATATCCAGGAATTTCCCAACCTGGAGGTGGCAAACCTAGCCAAGCCTGGCCCCCATGAGTCTCTACTTATCCTCAGGGGTCGTTTCGTAGAAAAAGAGCTAGGAGAACTCATTAGCATAATTCATTAGTATATGCCACACCCCCTGACATCAGGGGCCCGGCGGTGGACCTGCAAGGTTGGCGGGAGTGCGAGGAAGCCCCGGCAAGGCCCTCCCTGGCCCCAGGCAGGCAGGGGTGGGGAGAGGCGGGGAGGAAGCAATTTACCCTCCCTCTTCTCCTGCCTCCTCCTGGCTGAATGAGGGCCGGAAGCAGGGCGGCTGGAAGCAGGGGGCGGGGCTTCATCATGTGCCCTGCCCCCCTGCACTTCACCCGGGGGAACTGCGATCCCCCGCGATCCCCCCGAAATGGCCTCTGCTTATCCTGCTTTCATTTCTCCTTTCCACCCAGCAGCCAACCTACTTTATGTGCTCCCCCCCTCTTCACCTTTCCTTCCTTACCTCCTCCTGGCAGCCTCCCCCAGGAAAAAATATGGCCCAGTTGTGTAGTTAGGGTTTCTAGCCCCCAGGTTTCAGTAGGGGATCCCCTGGTTTTGGGGGCTTCTCCCTGCTGCAGACCAGCAGCCTGGTGGGGAAAATCCCACCTCTAAACAGTGACATCACCATGCAACATCCTCGGCACAATG